GTTAAAAATCTGAGTTATAGCCCTTCAGTGTTACATTTACTGTTAAGTCTCTACAAAATCCTAGAGTACATAGTTAGAGTCTGAGAGTTCTGAGGTGACTTCCAGATTTGCAGAAAAGGCTTCTTACTACAAATCCTACTTGTCACTCATTATCACTCTAATAACCTGACAGATATACTGTTGCTTCTGTAGGTAGTCCTTAATCTGGTGCCCTGACTTTCTGTAAGCAAAGTATGCTTCTTACTTTCAGGCTTCTCTAATGTCTATTAGAACAGATTAATTGTGAATTATAGGCAGATTAATCTGAGAGCTCAGAACTGTTAGAACTGAATGTATGTGTAGGCATTCTGTACAGACTTAATGTATCTGAGCTATAGCTTGGTTGAAGGAATAGTGTGTGTCTTCTACTTAGTATAAGTGATCAGTTCTAGTATTATTCTAAGAATCTTATTAACTAGTTCTGAGTAAAGAGCTTTTTTAAGCATTCTAATAAGGACATCATTAAACCTGAGTGTGAATCCTGCCTTCTAGGCCAGGATATCAAACTCCTGAAAGAAAGTATTAGTAGAATGTTTGCTCTGTCACAGAGACACAAGCTTGTTCTGTGTATTATACTTCTTATTCAGATTAATAAAGGAAGTATAGAGCTACCTTATGAATTCTGAATATGACTCATTGTTCTGAAGTTGGATCAGGCTTCCAATCTGATAGCCTTCAATCCAGTTCTGGGCCCAGGTGGCTGTGTTGCCTTCCTTCATGAAGGAGAGGACAAATAGGACACAATTAAGATCTGAGGATAGATTAGTTAAAATAGTAGCTATGTATAGTTCAACTTGGTGCTAGAAATCCTCAAAGTACTACCTATTAAAGTCTAAAGGGTAGACTATATACACTTTCTTTATAGAGTAGGTTACAACTTCTGGAACGTTTGGAACAGGTTCTAAAGGGGCTAGGGGTACATAGTTAGTAAAGGCCTCTTAGATAGAGGTCTACACATATTAAGTTAGGTCTGCTTATAACTACTAATCTGGCAGGACAGTAAGGGTGACAGTTAGTGTAGGAGGGTCTATGTTTATACTACAAAGGAATTAGCACTAAACTAAAAGGGGTAATAAATAGAAGAAGGGTGGCAAAAGTTTAAAAGGGTTTAGAAAGTTTAAAATTTAAAAATGTAAAAGGGTTAGGACAAAGAAAAGAGATTGACACAACAGTAAATACTAATACTCAAAATGTAGGAGAGTTGTAAGGTAGTAATAGGTAGTCTTAATCTAATGTTAGCAACAGTGTAGAGGGGACCTGAAGGCTCAGTGAGGGGACCTAGGCTACAACTATTCTACACAACAGAAATACAGAATGTAAGCACTAGAATGTAGTTGGAACTCACAGAACAGGCAGAGAGAGAGAGTGAGACAAGAGTAGAGTATATAGAGTGAGCCTAAGAGTATAGGACTATCTAGAGTAGACAAGATCAAGACTATAGGACTAGTCTGATCTTGTATGCCTATATATACTAAACTACACAAGAGTACTCAGAGAGTATAAGCTACTAAGAATGATAAGTTATGAAGAATGAAAGAAAGGAAGGTTAAAGATAAAGGTGTAAAGAATGAAGGGATGGACAAAGGGTAAGAGACTATAGAATGAACAAAGAATGAAGGGGTGGTCAAAGGAATAGAATGATGAAGTAAGAAAGGGTAGTAGTAAGAGTTAGTATACATATAGTTTATAAACAGCACCCCTGAGGGACAGAAGTTCTAAGTTCTGGTACAGAAGAGTACAGAACCCTTAGAACTAAAGGTGTAAGAGTAGAGAACTGTAACACAGAGAGCTCTACTTAGTAGACACTTAGCTTGAAGCTTACAAAGTAATACAGACATTACTATAAGAAGATAAGGTCAAGAATTGTATCCTCCCTATTATACTGTATTCTGACTTGACACATTTATCCAACTTCAGAACTGCTTCCTTATAGCTGTTATACATGTATCTTAGTAGCCAGTCAAAATATTTGTACAGAAAGCTTACAGAACATGCCTACTATTATTTAGTATACATTCCTCTAGTAAGTACTTCTAATATTCCCTACTTAGACATACAGAATCATACAGTAGTCTTTACATATACTCTCAAGTAATACTACTTACTTTGTGTCTCATTCTAGCTCCCTACATCCATTCAGGAGAGGTACACAGAGATTTACAGCTGGCCAGTATTGTCTAGGCTCCTAACTCACCTTAAACAAGAGTTGATACATGTAGTACTTACTCTAGTACTCATACAGTCTTGATTTATTAAGACAGTACAGTCAAGTATTCTACTAAACAGGCCTGATAGTATACAGTAACATTACTACCTAAGAATATTTATATATTTTTGTGACCATCTAGAAAGGTATGTCTTAATCCTTAATCCTTCACAGTTTCACAATAATACACACACTATCATTACAGAACAAACCAATCTACAAGAGCTAATATATTATTATCCTAGAATACTTGTTACTCTACTTTGAGTCCTTGGAAATTACTTATACACAACATGTGAGATTGAAAAGAAACATATTAACATGCTTGGAACTGTTGTCAACAAGTACTGCCAAGCTCACAAATGTGAAGACAATACAGAAAAATACAAAAAAATTACTAAGGTCTAGAGATTGATTTTTGAGAAGGGTTACACTGTTGAGTCCTCAAGAGTAAAGGGTCTAATGTAAGAAGGTTCACTTCTACTAATACATACAAGTTTCCTATTTGTTTGTTTCTTTCACTTGTTCTTTCTGACCATTTTTGTTATATAGAATGTATTCTCTCTTTTATTACCCTACAGTTTTGACTTCTACACAATGTTTGTGCCTGATCTTCTACACAAATTCAAACTTAGTGTGTAGAAAGCAACCTTTATTCATCTCTTACATATCTTGGTTACAGTAGGTAGTAATAAAGTCACTCAACTAAACAAAAGGTGAGTATATATATACACTATCATAACTTCTTCTTACAGTATATTAAAGAATACTAAATCATTGACTTTCAGGTACTACTCAGTCCTATTGTTTAGGATTAATACAATTTGTTTATTTACTGATAATATGTTTACACTTTGCAAACTCACTACAAGGAACTATAAGGACTTACTACAGGTAAGTAATCTACTGATTTCCATGTTCTACACTTAGATTGTTTATAAATACTAATGTCTTATAGTACTCTATACTTGTTTTTAACAGTTTATTACTCTCAAAACACACTTCAATCCTTATAGACCTCCTTTTTATCCTTAGGACTTGGTATACATATACTAAATTGTGTGTCCATACTGAAACAACTCTTTCTTCACTCAAGGCAACAACTACACTAAGGTAAGGAAAGTATAAACTTGACATAGTGTGACACAACAGACTAACCCAATTTGGATGCAAACAATGATGGCAAAATACAACACTCAGTATCCCAAAAATGCAAATTTGAGCTGCATAGATATATTCAGCTTAATCTAACCTACAAAAGTATGTTTTTGATTTTTTAAAATATTGAGATTTGAGTGAGTTATTTCCAAAAAAAAAAACTTTTTTTTTGGTACCAAATGTACAGAAATGCAATTTGGTGAAATTTTGAATTTTTTCCTGAAGATTTTTGCCACTTTGGTTAAATATCTATTATATAATTATTTCCTTATATAGAACACGTGCCTGATGAGTAATGTACTTTTGATCAGTAAATAGAACAAGGAATTAATGTTGATGGAAAATGCACACAATGCAAAGGTTTCAAGTGTGCTGACAAATCAGCACAATCAGTATACTGCTGTCAACAAATTCTGTTTAACCAGCCAGATTTTCAAGCTCATGACAGTATTGTAATGTCCTCAAACTGTAATCTCATTTGAGAGTTCACATGTTTTATATCTATTATATATAATTGACTTGAACTTGTACATTTGCTTACTAAGTAAGGTAAGGAAAGTATAAACTCGACATAGTATGTCACATCAGTCACAGCACAGCCACTTCTCCATTAGGAAGGACCCTGATGGCAAAAATCGAGCAGTGGACATCAACATTTTTTTTAGCACTTGTAAATACAAAAAAAATATAGATTATGGTTTTACAGCTCAGCCAGAATACTAGCTGGAAGGATTCTATAACTATAGTATTTCTTATTTGCCCATTGAGCCTGTGCTCCTGTCAACCCCTTTCTATATGCATCCATGAACTGAGCAGACTGGTTACAATACCTACAAAACATATAATAAAATCAATTTTGTAAGAAAGAAAGATTTAAAGTACTTACTTTTGAAAGAAATCAAGAGGGATAGAATCAAAGCATGTTTGAACATGCTTTTCCATTTGAGCTTCAGTAGTAGGGGCAGGCATCATCTGGTAGTTGAATTTAGCATAACCCTAGCACTGTTCAATGAAGTTCAATTCACAATGGAATTTAGGATAAAAAACTGCCTTGTGTTCATAGCCTTCCACCAATTCTTTAATTACAGACTTTCAGTAAAGAAAGGCAAGACACAGGAGTGTGATACAAACCTCAAGTCAAAAGAAAAGAAATTCAACATTAACACACTCAAATTCTATACACTAGGTAGTTATGTTAATACTATTTGTTGTTTTGGCACAACAGACTCTTATAGTACTCAAATGGTAAGTTCTGAATGTTTTACTAGTAGTTTAATGACTTCTTTAATTCCCTCTGTCCATTCTCCTTACTTATCTTGATTTTTAGGGAGAATCTCAGTATAAACAGCTTAAGAGTATATATTCTAGGACAAACAAGAAAAATGTAGTACAGGATGTTTCAAAACTTGAGGAATAAACATACAAACTCTGAGAGATTCAAAACCGAGTTGAGGGTCTCAAAACCAATAGTACAGATTGCAAACTATTACAAGTAATCATCCCTAAGACTCATTATAGTATGACAGCCTTAAAAAAGGAATAGAAACACTTGTAGTCATAGATAGATACTAATCCTACTGATCCAGCTCTCAAGGTAAGTTATCCCTGGCTAATTTGTGTATGACTATACTCTATGTCCATTTTATTCTTACTAGGATTTCTTAAGCAATTTATTCACTCATTTATTGTCTCAGATTCTTTCTAGGAACAAAGACAATACCTTTATACTGGATGAAATTAATAGTCTATGTATCCAAAATGATAGACTTTACAAACATAGGGTCATATGTATAAATTACACAACCTACAATGTCAGAAGAGTGTAGGACTCTCTGAACCCTTGTTTGTATACAGATATTATAGTCTACTCAGATGACCAGTATTCTGACTATCTGTTCATATTTGTACAAATAGTTAGTATCTTCCACATTAATGTTACCTACTTTAGGCCTGGATTAAGCTCCTTACATTATAAAAGAATTGATTTTGTCTGAGTACAGTAGTTTAAGACTGAGGCAAGTTGCTCTTATAGCTTTCAAGAGAAACAGCTCTAACAGATTTGTTTTCTGTATTACTCTAAACCTGGTACATTTAGGTTTCTCAATCCTGACCTTATTATTTAGAGAGTACACCTAATTCCAAACTTCTTGAAAGGCTGTACTACTAACTATCTGCCACACTCTGTTGTTTGTCACTCATTAGAAAAAGATTCAGATTATCAGAGATACTATGTTAATATGTAAGTTAGAATAAGATATATTTATATATTTTTACTCATTTCATATATTATATTGTCTTATAACTAATTAAATACAAAGATTTGTTGATAGGGATATATTTATACAGTTTTGTGAGGGCAGAATCAGTCATAAAACAGTATGGCACCTAAACAACCACCTTATGTGTAACATTTTGTATGAGATGAATGAAGACAAAGATGAAGACAAAAATGAGGATCTAAGAAACAAGGAAGGTGGTGAAGAATCTGGAGTGGATACAGAGGAGGAAACAGAGGAGGACTCAGAGGACAAGGAAGGAGAGGATTTGGACAGCTATACAGACTTGTAGCAAAACAAAAATGATAGACACAGGTCACACATTTATAGAAATTTTGTAGTCATGTGTACTGATTGACAATCTGTTAATTATCTTTACAATACAACTTGCTCAGTCTCAGTGTATTGAATTGGAATGATAATGCTCACAGACAATGTCCTCTCAATTTCACATTACTAGTATACAATAGAGCTACATGCTCTCAATTTATATGTAATGGACCCTATTCTATAAGCACTCACTACTACAGGTAAGTTGCAACTCAAGACAATGTACATTAACAAAGTACTCCAACTTTTTGTGAGTATTCACTCTGTTTACTACACAATTAATGTCTACTCTGTTCTATACTGTGTTTAACATCTATTTCCCTAGCCTACAAGCATAATTACTTCTTGACAATATGCTTTCACTTAATATATCTCTACTACTTTCTTGCTCACTTGCATTCTCAAATTTCCTACTGTCATCCCTGCTTACAATCTCAAATTTCCCTAGCTTTATTAAGGTCTTCTAGACATCTACACTACTTAAATTGAGTTTGTACAGAGCTTGCAAGGTTGTTTAGAGACAAGAAACAATTAGGTAAGTACTACTTTGAAGTTTGAGAGTAACACTGTGTAATTCAACTGCTTTATTAAGGTCTTCTGACTGTCTACTCTGCCCAAGTTCCTTACTTTACAGTCTCATACAGTACTCTCCAGACACACTTTCACTCAGACTTGGCTCTGTAATGAGTAGTAATGACTCTTAATCCCCTGTTAATAATTTGCTCAATATTGACTTCAATAAACTTACTGAGTACCATTTGCAGCCTTACACAGTACTCTCTAGACACACTCTCACTCAGACTTGGCTCTGTAACAAGTAGTAACAACTCTCAATCCCCTGTCAATAACTTGCTCAACATTGACTTCAATAACATGCTTGCATTCCTTTTACTTTACAGTCACACACACACACTCCCAACAACTTGCATTCACAATTACCTTTAGTAAGTCCCTTCCCTCACTTGTATTTGACCTGAGATCTCTAGACTTACTTCTTATCTTATACAGTACTCTCCACACCCACCCCCCCTCTGTTTTTTGGGCTGATCCAGACATGTACAAAATGAAGGATGCAAAGTGTGTGTCCTGTAAGGCCAGCACTGATAAAATTCTGGGAGTACTTAGGGAAGTACTCCTAGATTATTATAGCTGTATTAAAACAGCTAAAATTGTGTAAGTCCTTATATTTTTACATTTTTTTACTACTAACAATATTATTATTGTTATTGTTATTGTTATTATTAGGGGTAGTATTCATGGGTCAGGTAATAACAATACCCTACACCTTTTAATAAGGTGTTTTGGGAAGAAGAAATTGGTAGGATCTATACACCTGCCTTTTGTTAATAATGTGAGTTTTTTTTACCTTTGTCTTGTCTTTCTTTGCTAATATTATCTTAAGGAATTCCATTTTGAGAGGGCAACAATTGGCTATAAGAAAAGAAAGGGCCACTTTGTAATAGAAAAAATCTAATTATTGTAAATTTCTTGTATATACAAGCTCTTTTTAATTCATATTAGTTGTTTAAAAGTAAAACTGTATTGTTTTATAAAGCTTACAAGACAGTTATTAACTTTATTATTATATATTATTGTATATTATTCTACTAAAAGTATTACAATTACATATTATCTTACTAAAAGTATTATAATCAACTGACAAGCACAGTACAATATTTTTATAACTATTATAATCTATCAACTATTATTGTAGATATCTTATAATATAATTTTAACAGATTATAATAAGAGTTGAGTACTTGTACCTCACATGTAATATTGTAATAATACTATTAGTAAGCTTACTTGCTCTAAAGCATGTTTGTAGTTTAATAGAAACTTTGTATATTTCATACATTTATATACAAGCATTATAATTACATTACAAGTAAAATATAAGTATTATTTTAGAATGTAATGCTGATGAAATAATTTTATTAGTTTACTTTTACTATTATTAAATACATTTGTTGCGACTTTTTCGTGATGTTCGAGTCAGCTATATATACAACAATTGTTACTTGCTTGCTCTGCCTTACATGCATATGAGCTTCATTTCACTGTTACATAGCTGATTGTGCTTGCATCGAGTAAACACATATAGGGTTGATTGCTCAGTATCCTTGGTGCCTGTTCTGCCACTTGACAGTACAGGCAAAGATGTTTACAGAGTGTTTCATGAATGAATATAGTTTTTAACCCTATAGCCATTTGTTATCTTTATGATTTTGATAGTTGATCAGATATACAACAATCATTGTCTATTTACATGTGTATTGTTTTGCTTTTGCAGAACCTTTAGCTGATTGTACTTGCATTGTATGGATGTATTAAATATTGATTACTGGCAGACAGTGTGAAAGATGCACCAGGTCATGTTCAGCCTTTCTACAATCAATCAGCTATGGCTGCTCAGGCTCAATTACACATACCTCTTCTGTGCATGCCCAAACTTAAACTCTCGAAAACGCATCAACACAGGATGATCAATACTCTTAGCTTGCTCATAAAGTTTACTTAAATGCCCTTACAATTACATTGACTAGTAGCATATACAATCATTTCTCTGAGTGTCTGTGTTGTAGAATTGTTGAAGGCTCAATGTTATATCTTACAAACAGACACAGGTTTATTTGGATTACCCACATATTAAGAAATGAATACAGATGCAAAATTATAACGAAATTCTTTCATTCCACAATACAAGACTATAAAACCCTTTCAACAATGTGAAGACACAGGTTTGGATCATACAATCTTGTTTCGTCCTCTGAGAACTCAATGTCTTCCTCAGGCAGGAACAACTGATCTCTTTCACACCTTTCAACATAAGAACTAGCCTTGTATTTCTGTTTTGGAATGAAGGGAGGAGCCTTATCACTAATGGATTCCATGTATGGATTGTTCTGCTAGTCAGTAGCATTGTACCACTGTGGCTTCCAACCTTCTGGGATGCCCATTATTATGAGATGATTAGTTCATCAACAGACAAACCACAAGACAATGACTTCATAATGTCTCAGTTAGAATACATACAATATAAGGACAAGAGACACTGAGCAGTCAATTGTCACCTCACCCCTTGTCTATGCATGCCCCCCTTAAGTTTTCCCTCTCAACAGGTTATGAGCCTTGAGCTCCCTGTATACACACATCCACTGTACACTCTAAACTCTTTATTTGCATACATTTGCACACATTTGCATCATGGTTCCCCCACATACTAATACACACTGTAAACCAGCTAATGTACCTAAATACTTTGGTCAAAATATCACAATGCTTAAGACCAAAGCAAACTACAAGATGTAGCATTACTACATTGTTTCTAGTGTTGTAGCTACATGCTTCAAACACTTACTAAAGGATGAACTGTAGAACAAAGCTGAGAGGGAGATGGCTAAGGCCATTCATACATACATAGTTAATAACATTGCTAATACAATATTAGCAAA